CACATGATCTAATGTCTTCGATCTCTGGTTAGAAATTGATTTAAGTCGTATACCGAACAAAAGTCGTATACCGAACAAAATTTGTTTCGTCCAAACAGGACGTATTCTAAAGCAGACGTATACCGAGGTACCACTGTACTAGAATCGTAAGGATGTATTTTGTAATATGTTTTTATACTTTATTATTATACTGAATAAAAAGAAAATAACTTGAGATAAGATTTATGAAATTCTTAGTTTTAATTAAATGTTTAGTAGTTTACCTTGTGCTTATTTTCTTGTAAATGTCTAACATTGTAAACAAAGATAACACGGTAAATAAACGTTGTTCTAATTTACTTTATTACAGTCGATCCCCTTATAACACTGTTGATTATTCCGTTTTATATGAATTCCATTTTGTACGAGTCACTTAGATTTTACAAATACGTAAGCCGTTCACAACCCGGCACACGTATTTGTAAAATCTAAGTGACTCGTACAAAATGGAATTCATATAAAACGGAATAATCAACAGTGTTATAGGGGGTCGACTATATTTTAATATTGATATGCATTATCAACTACGTTTAGACTGAGAATTCGGAATTGTTCATTTTAAATTTCATCAAGATTTCGAACGATAACGTCGAGTGTAATCGTTCCATCGCCATGATAATTCGAATTAAAATAAACCAGCAACGAGTTGCTCGACTTTCCCGGCAACATGTAAAATTTTGGTGGCGCCATCTATTATCACATTTTATTTTAAAAATTTTATATTTTTATTTATTATAAATTTTCTTTTTTATTTTTACGGCCAAGTAGCCTACAATGTAAGGTAAATAAGATATTACGGAGCAGTAAATAAAACGTTACGACTAGTCGAATCGACGTCACTCGAAATATAGAGCATATTTGTCGTTTAACAAACACCTAGATAAGGTCAACGAACGTCTGTCCTAAATTTTGCCGTTAATATTTTATTTATACGAATTAATAATAATAGATTTCTAAATATTAATTATTAATACGTCGATTTTTACTTTTTTCTTTTGTTTATGCCTTTATCGAGATTTAAATTTTAATCGATAGATGGCGATACCGGAAGCGAAACCCGGTAAGGAACCATTCAAGTTTTTCGACTACCTTATGCCGAATTTCATTCGATTGTATCGTATTTTGACGAGATTAAAACTGAGCACTTACGGAAGATAAATGTATTTTCGTACGCTCACCAGATTTTTATATTTACCCAAATCAGAATTTCATTAGCTAAGGCATACGAGAAATGACCCCCTTTATCTCTCTATCTCCTCGACCTTTAACCACCAAAATTTAATAGTATTCGACCCATTAATACACGAGCCACCCTGCGAAATTTCAGAAATTTTCGACAAAAGGCACGGGAGTTATTAAGCTTTTAAGAGGGTGAACAAAATCGTAGAAATCTTGGGGGTCATTTTGTATACTTTCCGTCTGTTATATACCTATATAACAGCTAGAAAAGTAAAAATCCAGTTAGCGAGGTTGCGGCCGAAGTTTTCATCTGTAAAACGTGAACGTCGAACGTCGAGCGCCGCTTACTAAGCGGCGCTCGACGTTCGACGTTCACGTTTGAGAGATGAAAACTTCGGCCGTAACCTCGCTAATGATTCGAACAAAAACAATGGAAGTAATTGTACTGTAAAATAGAAAATCTACACTTATGGAAATAGATTTATGTTTTATTTATTTAAGTTTTAAGTCTTGTTATAAATATTTAATAATAAGTTAATATAATGAAATTCGTAATAGAGTGGTACAATTTTCTCGGAATATATTAACCACGTTCGATTCTAATATTTAATTCAATAGAGTAAGCTTACACTTTATTTCATTACCGATTCTTACGCTTCTTTATATAATATGCTCTAAACTAATCGCTTATTTGACATTTTTAGTTTACAAAACAAAAGATAAGCCTTACAGATTACCTTCAAACAGATGTAAATTTATAAATTTTATCTAGATAATGGAGAATTTACATTGATCATTTAGATCCGCGATAACTCATTCTCGAACAAACACTGTTTACTCTATTGGCAAAAAGTGCAATTGCCTGGGTACCCTACAAACATGGACCCCCAAATTAATCGTTTATAAGAAAATATTTCCCAAAAATTTCCAATAATATAATACTCAATCGTCTTATATTATTGTCAAAACACACCGACACTTTCTTTTATTTGTTGCAACAACTCCAGGAAAAGTTGAAACATTTTACATTTCTATGAAAATTATTATAAATAAATAAGGAAAATCAAAAAATAGTTATAAAAGTGTGTATAGATTCTATGTGTATTGATTTATTTATTATAATTACATTGGTCGAATCTCGTGTAATTATAAATTATTTTATTATTCTGTTTAAAAATTAGAATTTTAATAATATCATCATTATTTTGACATATATTTTTTACTGTTTTACATCACAAAGTAATATAATACAGAGTTATTGTGCAAGTTTAAATGTGAGATTTCAGTTAATTTACTGTTCTTAACACACGAAAATGAATCATTAGAATTGTTTTTTTTTTTAAATATATTGAATTTACATAAAACAATTAACATAAAATAAATGAAGTTTCTTAGTATTTATAGTCAATAATGCATAACTGGTTTATTTGTATGCACGTTCTGCTTTTTATTTTTCTGATTTAAAATAGTGTAAGGCCTATATTTTTAATAAATAAACAGTAACAAAATATATATCCAATGGCCCAAAACGTAGAGGAATTTTTGAAATACTTGACATATTAAAAGATTAATTAACTATTTTTAATGTTTTTAGAAACAATTAATTCTCAAAACCAAAGAAACAGCTCTGGAGGATAAGGGATCGAATCTGGGTGAGCAACTTTAGGGAGGGCCTTTTTCTATGTTTGGCCAGGCCCGTAATGAAAGCGGTGGGCCTGACCAAACGTGGAGAAAGGCCTTCTTTGTGTACCGATCGCTATACTTTTCCTCTGTTATATATAACAGTCGGGAAAGTAAGAATTTAAATTGGATAATATATTAATTTTCCAAGCGAATGAGTACATGAACTCAATAGATGAATAGAGTTAGTTCTCCCTTTTACCCATCTATCAAAATAAGGTGTTTTTGTGACACGTATAATGTGCCTCGAAAGCTATTGTACTTTCTTGCATGTATGAGGCAGATATATTATTTTAGAGACAATTATAATAGATACTTTATATCAATTTTAAATTAATCTATTTTAATTAATGAATACTGCGTTAAAAATACGTCATTTCTTGTACAAATTTATATGCCGAACACATCGACGAGTATAATCTAATGGTTATAGTAAAGTTTGATACATATACACGAACAATAGTGTACAATTTACATACAAAGCTTCAAAAATTAGTTTATACATTTCTAATTATAATAGTAGATGTACAGTACATGTATAATATGAATAATATTTACACGTGTATCAAAATTCCAAACAGAATTTCTATAACAAATTTAACACTGATAAATAAATTATTTACAAATTGCAATATTGTATTTAACTTTGTGTTCAGAGCAGGGGCATGCCAAGGTAGGACCTTGGCATGCCCCTGCTGTGAGCACAAAGTAGGAGTTAATAGGGCCTTTGCCTATATTGAAACTAATAAATTTATATATTATATGTTTATTTATTCTTATCACCTTTATAATTATACAGTTACATTCAATTTGATTTTTGTTTTTATAAATATTTCTTTATTTATTTTATCTCTTCAGATACTTAAAAATAATATTGTCGACACAATTATATATAAATTATGAGGGTTTTTTTTTAAATAAATGATTTCGTTGGCTTGTATCCAAATAGTAATTTTTTATATTCAATTGTTAGTAGATCAGTCATGTAAATTAAACACTTAGTTTTGATGTATTTATTTTGTAAAATTTAGAAATTTCGTTTATATATTTTATACAAAATATATCTGTGATCCATTTTTTCTTGTTTCTGGTACACATAACTATAAGTAGAACATGTAAAAATAGCTTTGCTTCGTCTCTTCTTTCCTGTTCGTACTCTTCCCCCTCTCTCTCTAGTGTTGTATACTATAATATGTATTTAAACTCTAATCAACTATTAAATTAAACAATTTATTTTACTATACAGTACGTCTTTGTATACGATTGAGAAAAGGGGATTGGAGCATTGTCTACACAAACTTTAGTGGTGTTGGTGGCATACGAATTTGCTCTGTTAGAAAATATTTGCAGAACTTTTAAGTCACGAGGACTGTAAATAGAGGAGAGAGTAATAATTGTCAACAATAGGAAGGAAGGGGGTAAAAAGTGGCACAAAAACTATAGCCTAAGTGTAATTAATACACCGCCCCTTATATTTGTATAGAGTTTTTACGGAATATCCGATTTAGTTATTCGTTAGCCTTACAATTTTAAATATATTTCTATGAATATTCTTCTTCAATTCGTTAAACTTGAACGATTTTTGTCTTATTTCTTAATCGATATCCTACGCTTTTTATTTTTATTGATTAAGATATAAACAACCCGATCGATACACGTCTTTCGTGTTGAAAGTCTTATAATTTCCATTAACTTTTTATTTATTAAAATTAGCGTAGAAACTGCGAAAACAAAGAAAATATCAATAAGAAATGTGGCATTTTGTATTGAAAGTGACCACGTGTGTAACCGAGATAAGAAAGAAATGTCATTAACACTTCGTCTTCCAAACAAAATAATTTGTAGTATTGTTTACGTAATACTCTATTTAAAGCTAAAACGGAAATGACGTCGAAGATTATGCTACTTATGAAAAAATAAATAAATAAATAAAAACTTTTACAAATAAAGTTCTTAATCGACACCACTCGTCTGAGATACGAAATTTTAAATACAAGACGGATTTAAGTGTTATTTTATACTTAAAAATTAGTTTTTAATATAGTTAACGTAGTACTACATTTTAAAGGGATATTCTTCCGCGTAGGGGGGAGAACCAGCGCCACCTGGCGCATCCGGTCGAACGGCAGGTAACAGTTAGTTGTCATAACGACGGAGTCGGAGCGGTTTCTGTTGTGTGATGTCAGAGACGTAAGCTGTAACGTGGACTCGACACTCATTCCGTCTCGTGTTGTTATCATGTACGTAGTGGACAGGGAAGGATCAGGATGAGATCTAATGGCCTCCGAACAAGACGCGATGAAACAACTCAGAGAAGTGTTCGATTTATGCGACGAAATGAAATGCGGTTATTTATCAATTGATCAATTGAAGGAATTAGGAAAAAAGTATTTCGGCGGAAGAGAAGAGGTAAAATATCTTCTTTTTTTATATCGGAAAATTTACAATAGGTTCGAATATCGAACGTAAAACGTCACGCGATACGTCAACTTTTGACACCCAACAAAAACGCACGTGCGCTGAGTCATTTTATTGGTTACCACACCGATCACATTCCTCGTATGCCAACTTTTCTTACATCGAATTACTTATTAAGACGGGAAGCATTGTCGTTTCGTTAATTGTTATAAGTTTTGTAATGTTTGGGCCACTCGAAACAATAGAATATAAATGCAACACGGAGCGTATCTTATAAACCATCTTAGAGATGGCTTTTGTCCTACATTTTTTTTATTTTTTTATTTGGAAGTCGTAATAATAGAGCAACTTGTTAATACACATCATTAAAGTTTAATCCCTAAAGTAATTGTAGTAACACAATTAAAGGATTAGAGATCTTTTTTGCACCAGACAATACCTTTACAATTGTATTTAAACATTGTATTTACTTAAAATGACACACAAGTTATCGATTAAAAAAATTAAATTTAAAATTTAAAAAACGTCATATAAATAAGTGTGAGGTCATACTAAAAGCGCGTGTTTCATAAAACTGCTCACAACAATTGAATTTATTTAATATTTAATAGGGTAATACTTCGCAAATGCTCTTTAACATTCCAGTTGTTTTTACCATTGTTTATACAAGTCGACCCCCCTATAACACCATTGATAATTCTGTTTTATATGAATTCCATGTTGTACGAGTCACTTAGATTTTACAAATACCTGAGGCGTTCACAGCCAGGCACACGTATTTGTAAAATCTAAGTGACTCGTACAACATGGAATTCATATAAAACGGAATTATCAATGGTGTTATAGGGGGGTCGACTGGTATATGTAATTATAATATTCTTAGAATGAAACTATAAGCTTTTGTTTTGTTTACATGATAATTACCTTCTTGGAATTATCGTAGGGGATTGGAATTTTTCTTATAAAGACGTCAAAATAACTATGGAAAATGATTTTATTTTTAATTTTCGATGGGGGTTAAATCGGTTGTTATCGAAGGAATATTTAACCCGACTTGCATGGATAAACTTTTAGGCGATTGTAATTATTTCCTAAGAAAGATAAATCGCCATTTTAATAGCCAAAAAAGACAAATAAAGATTCGTTCTGATGAGAACTTAAACTGGAATACCCTTGACCCGTTTCTTCCTATTTTCGAGTTAGCATTTACTATATAGTTTTAAAATATATTTCGAATATTTTAATATATTTAGAATGATATTTACTTTCTTAAAAGATAATATTAAAAGATTGTTATGTAAACAGAAGAAGAAGAAGAAGGTCATTACTTTTTAGAATATATATATATATATATTTTTATATTTTACGATAAAATTCTAAGTAGTGAATAACCAAGGATAAATATGGAATGTATTATATTGTAATCGGTCAAGCAGAATGTCAGTAACATCCTTTTATACTCTCCAGGTTACTAGATAATTGGAGCTACGGGTGGGTTGGTTGGTTGGTCGCGCAAACAGGTTTCCGTGTCCGTTTTCTCTATTCCGATCGTCCGTGTTTCCCTCAAATCTATTCACGGTCAGGTTGATAGAAGTATTACGTTGATAAAGTATAAAAAATCGATTCGATAAAAATCGATTTTGACGTCACACTTGACAGAAAACATCGATATAGTACTTTCGTTTCTGATGTCCACACACACACGTAACTTTTCCCGAAATGGGTTAAGTGGAGTACACTTTCACACGATTTGTTACCAGACACTTCCGGTCGGGAAACGAATTATTAAAGAGATTTTAGGGTCTTTTTTTAAAAAAAAATAAAGGCCATGGAATATGTAGAACGAGATGTAGGAGGTTTCTCTAAACATAACGTAGTATATTGCTTGTATTGACGATGATATCGATTACGATTATAGTAACTGGTGTTACGTGAGAAGTAGGCTACATAAATTATATAGCTAAAATAAAGGGACTTGTCAATAGTTTATATTTTTAGCACAGATATTATTAATAAATCATTTAACTACGTATACATTGCTCGTGTATATTATATCAAAATACGGTTTTTAATTTAAAATATTTGTATAATCCGAGTTTAACTCGGTCGCTTTCACCCTTCAACACGGTTAAAATGGGCCAATACACAGGTATTGTACCTAAGACAGGAGGATAAGAACCATTTCCTTATGTAGACCACAAACATGGCTACCAATTAGTAAATATTTTCGCTTCTCCTTCTACTTTTGTCGTTCGTACAAATGGAAGTAGCTTAAATAATGGAAAACGATTATCTATTTATTAAATTTGACGAAAAATAAAAGCGGGGGAATCGGATAGAAATAATTCAAGTGAATATAAAAGCGTAGACCGATACAATTGTACAGGTAGGGAATATTTACTGTAGACTTAGTTAAACAGGGTAAGTAAATTTGAACAGATGTTCGGTCGGAGAGTAGACGTTTTACAGTTTGTCGCTAAGTTGGAAATTTCTTTCTGTCGACCAGGTGCTTTTTTTTTTATTCCACTTCCTTTTCCCACGATTAATTCTGCCTAGAGCACTTCCTGCGAAACTCCTATTATGTATCTGCCATTGATAATGGAATAAATATCCGTCGGTTGGGAAAGCGCTTGAATCTACTTTTATAAGTTCTGTATCTTGACAGGAAATATAGGTTATCGATTGTTCTTATAGCATAGAAGAAACAGGAAAGAACCCTGTCGATATTTCCATTACTTTCTCTCTTTATTATTCTGAAAATTAATAAATTTATTAAATATTTAAATTAAAGGAAAACACCTAAAATTTAATATTCATAACGTTTGGAGCTTCTTAAGTCACTCCCATTTGTAATAGATATCGATTGTTTTAAGTTGTGATTTATGCTTTTATTACTTTATTATACGGTTAAAGAATTAGTCTACGCAGTTTCTAACATGGCACAAAGTGAATTGAGATAGTAAAAGATGATTGATTAACGTTATGTAAATTGCCTTTTACTTGGAAAGGTCGTAAGGCTATTGAACTTCGGGCTACTGTTAAGTTTATTGCACTGATTTATTACAGTTACTTATGTTATACCTTGTTTTTTCTTGTGTGTAAATTGGTTACGTAATTTAAACTTAAGGTGTTTTAAATATAAACATATTATTATCTTAAATATGGGCATAAAAGTCGAGATTCTCTTTGCGCCAGTCTTAAAAAAACGTATTGGAAAAGTTTACAAAGGGAAAATTTAATAGAAATTGTTGAAATTTCTCGAAATATAAACAATTCCGCATCGTTTCGGTTGGCCTACGAACATTTTAATGCCCTTATCAGTTGACGATTCCCAGGTAAATACCTCGCTCAAATAACCGGAAAATTTGAATATCGGGCACGCAGTAATCCCATCCGCGCCCAATGACGATACCTTTTTTGTACATTTGTGATTATTTTGACCTTCTCTCTGTTTTCTTAATCTGTAATTTGTGTGAATAAATAATTCTTTTTTTCGTTTATCTTTCTTAATTTTTAGTATTTATTGTTCAAACGTTTCCTCTGTGTTCTTTCGAATCAACCTATTTCAATTGTTTCGAATCGATGATTGAAAGAATAAGAACAGAAAAATATGACAATAAATTATATATCATAATTTTCTATTGCTTTTTTAAGTTATATTATGCGGTAACAAAAGAATGACGTGTAACTGCCACTCTTAACATTACTTATTGTTTACAACAAATGAAATATTTTTTCAATAATATAGTGTATTTTGGTATAATAAATGCTGTGTTGTTGTTTAAATAAAGTCGTGTATTATCAACGATGAGTATTTATTTTTTTAAAAAATAAAGGAAAATTTCGATGGCATTATTCACGTGTTTAACGTAAAATAATACAAAAATATAAATGTCACTTCCTCGAACACATCATCCATAAGTAATACCAAAATAACGTTAACAAAGACATTAAGAATACTTTAAGGTGTACTGTACTGTACATATTTCCTTTGACTATACCTGGCTAAGTGTACATTTATCAGGGTTTATATCTACCTTATATGTCTGGTACAGTGTGAGAAACAAGAATGTTATGTACTGTAGTAATGGACGATTGTCTGTTACAATGAGGAGTTGCCTCGAGGACTTCGTAGTGTTCTTCCTTTAACATTGTGGTGGACGTAGCAAAGATAAGAAGACGAGAGGAGTAACACCAAGGAGCATATTATATATGTAGTTATAATATTTATATTTTCTATCTCTTAGTTGTCATAAACGATTTCTAAATCTGAAATTAAAATAAAAGTGTTAACGCCCCTACCGAGAAACACTTCAGTGACGTAGACAAGTACAGTACAGATGACGTAAATTACTTGACTAGAATATATACGTTAGTGTAGCGATGACTTAATGGTTTATACCTATGGCGAGACAACAGTTCTCAGTATTCCTCCCTATTCTTACAATATAAATCAATATGGACGTAGAATTTTCTCAATGGTAACAACGTCTCTCGAGTATGCTCGTAATGTTCGATAAATATAACAATACCCAAGAATATAATAGAATAAATTTATATATATATATTTTTAGTGATAAAGAATCGATTTTTTTCCCGTATTTNATATCAAACTCTCTATAGTTTTATAATAGTTTTTAAGCATGGGATTGCATCAAAAAAGGTAAAAAGATTAAATATCATATTAAAAAAGCAGAAAAAAACTTTCAAAAAGGTTAAATATAAACAAAAAGAGCAAGCGAAATTAATCAATTAATTAAATGTATAACCATTTATTACGTTTTTAATCGATTAATAATTGAAATTTACGACAGTATATTCTTTGTAACAATTTAATCAATGTGTATACATAAGCAATGACATATCCTTTGAAATCCGAAGCAGTTAGTTAAAATTATATTGACAAAAAAGAAAATTAATCTAGTTATATATATTTTTTTCATCTTTTTAATTAAATTGTGATTAAATTAATTATTGCACATCGTTAATATTCAAAATAAATTTAAAAAAATAATTAAAAAATATAGAATGCCTAAAAGATATTATTCTTCTGGGTAATTTCATTATCTTTTAATGTGTCTTTGCGTAATTTTTTAACACATATTTTCATAATCTTCATAAAAAAATTTATTAAATTAAGAAACATTTTTAAAACAAATACTTTCAGTATTTTTTTCTATTTAAAAAAAATCAAAATTATGACTCAATTTACATAACAAATATCCTAAAAATTATGTAAAAACTATATGTTTTACGTTTAGAATTTAATTCAAATTTCATCATCAAAAGTTGTCTGTACGTTAATTTTAAATCTTAATACAGTAGACCTCCCCCTATAACACTGTTGATAATTCCGTTTTATATTAATTCCATGTTGTACGAGTCACTTAGATTTTACAAATACGTGAGCCATTCACAGCCCGGCACACGTATTTGTAAAATCTAAGCGACTCGTACAACATGGAATTCATATAAAACGGAATTATTAACAGTGTTATAGGGGGGTCTACTGTGTATTAAACTCTCTCTCTCCTCGTCTCTCCTTAAAGCTTACTTCTTTATTTTCGCCATCAAAAATGGATTTTATGAGGCGGATAAAGTCGATCTACTAATTGAAAGTAACGTCTGGATGCTTTATGTCATTAATTACTTTTTTTCCATTGGATGATTCTCTTAGACGAGACGTGTGACTTTTCAATCGACTTTGCATAAAAAATGGAAATATTTAATAAATTATAGCCTATATAATTCGGGTTATCCGTGTATTGTTACTGTGTTCATCTGTTACATCCAAATTTAATATAGCCTACTTACGAAATACAGCGGTGTTTAAGAACTATTTCCTCACGAAATCTTTCAGTTTTATTGATAATTAATTGAGTCTGTAAAAAATTACGAGAGACTTTACGTCAGTAAGCAATTATACAAAATATAAATTTAATTAATAGAGCGACGATGGGGCCTATTACAAAATCATTGCGATAAGTTAGGATAGGCATCGTGAAGATAATAAATCTACTTTGTTAATCGGCTTTAAAATAGTGGAAAAATTGATTAGTAGGAAATTCTGAATTTAGAAGGTCAAGGTGATGCTCTTCTACCATATCATGTAAGTTAATTCCATCCGTGATTACTTTCATCAATAAATGATTTAACAAAAGCCACGCTGTTTGGCAGCAATCCAATACAATACTCCAAGCGCACCATTTCTTTTTTTTTCCTACTTTAATTTCCATTAATTTAATTCCAGTTTAATGAAAATATTTATTTACTCTCAACAGGAAATGGTACAGCTGTTAGAATGTTTAGATCCAAAGGGTCAAGGAGTCATCACTTTTAACGATTTCTGCAGAGGTGTAGCTACTGTCACTCAATTCGGAGGTAAGCCATCTATTAATTATCGTTCTTTGTAACTAATAGATTCCTAGATTTTAATGTCAAGGACAATGTTTAATTTATAAATGCCTATAGTTTAAGAAGTGTATTCATCCAAATCGCCCGAATGTACAGTACTTCATCTATAATCATTTGGAGAAAAGCCAAAATTAATCTACCTAAACCTATAAAAATTACCGTTACATTCGTAGGATTATAACGAGTAAAAATATATTTTACAACTTTAATGCATCCAATTCAAATTAATTGACTATAATATCGATTGTTGGTAAACTATATTTTTCTCTCATTCCTTTAAAAACAAAGCTGGTTTAATTATTATTGAATTCCAATAACGGAGAAGAGGAATATTTTCTCATTCCGACAAAGACGTAGGTTTTGATCCCACTCGGATTCAAACCGGGTTTGGAATTAAAATTTTTTCCTTTGAACGGATGTAGGATGTATTTATTAAGATTCCCATTTTAGGTACAGTATATAACTAATATTTAGTCACTCGTTATACAAATATACGAAAGGCTGAACCCAATGGTGGTCTAATCCTCTCTTATGTCGAAATCGAATTAACAATGCCATACGTTCTTGTATTAAATATATCGTCTCTAAATAAAGATCACTAGGATACTATATATATATAGTATAACCCCCGAATAACGGACACCATCGGAACAGAGAAGTTTGTCCGCTATTTAGGGATAAATATAATGAATATCCTATTACTTGAAGGTTTTGGGGATTGTAAAAACGTTCGTTAAGTGGAGATGTCCGTTTATACAGGTTTCGCCGTATTTATATATATGAAAAGCTAGCGTACGGCACTTTTACAGAACAATATCTCAACTAAGATGGGAAAAAAAAACAGGGTTAGACCGGTGTTGCGCTCAGCCTTTCATATATTTACATAACAATGTAAATTGGAACCTAAACGTCGTTACGGTTTATTAACTCGATTATAAAACTTAATCTGTTGGTTTTGTTACAGATAAAACTATCCTTATTAATTAATTTCGAAATTATAACATATTAGCTAACCTTTTTGTAAGCTTTTATGACTTATTATCAAGAATTGTTTTAATATTCCTATTAAAAACAATAAGACAATATCATTGATNAACGGGATAATCAACAGTGTTATAGGGGGGTCGACTGTAGTCATTAATGTAGGAGTGTGTAAGTTTTACAATTCTACAGCTGAGATAAAATTAAATAAATGAAACAATTTACTTAAAAACAAAGAAAAATAAAAGGATAAATGTGACTAATTTTGGGAAAGATGTCTGTAAGTTATCGGTTCCAGTTAGTAGTCGGACAGACCTGTTCTCTTCAATACCAGGAAGTTCATACACAATAAGGAACAGGTAACGTTCTCTTTGACTGCTCAGGCCGAAAATTACTGTTAGCATTCTGATAGCACTTGAAAATTTTGCAAGAACTACTCGAAAATAAAATTCGATAATAAAAATGATATATGAAGTAATGGGTACTTAGTGCCATAGAGTGCCAATAGAGTAAATACTTAGTGCCCATTACTTAATATATAGTAATATAAGAACGAAAAGAAAATCATTAAAAAAAAATGATATAGACTACTCGAAAAATTATCCTTAAATCCTTATGCTTAATTATTGTTATTTAGAATTTTATAATTGCTTTTTCCGAAGGGTTTATCGTTGTAAAATACGATAATTTTATTTTTAAATATTATCAAACGAATAATTTATGGGATAAGTGATTTTTATATTACGTAAATCCTGGTGAATTTTTAATATATTATAATGTAGAGATTTATTCATTTATTTCGAATAATAATAGAAAATATTTTATATTAAAAAAGGTGAACGATCTCGTTATGTCGTTCACATTTATTTATTCAAGCAAATATCGGTGTAGGTGAATATTTATTTGTGACCTAGAAAATCACTTTCTTGAAGCTTTTAACCGTTGTTATCAACACCCATTATGTGTGGGTACCGGTAACAACGTCGAAAGAAAAGCTATTGCCAAACAAGCGGGTTTGTAATTCGGGGTCATGACATTCCTTATTAGTAAGCCTTTTAAGTTGTTAGAACAATAGACAACACAGAACCAACGACAATCACTTATTCTATTTCAACATTTACATGGACTAATTCTATCTTTTACATATCGAAAATAACGAAAAATAAATTAGTGTTTCTAAATAATAATAATAATAGTAATGAAGACTGATATAGACACCAGTTTATCCCGCAAAAATAGGAATATTTTAGGCCACTCGCTGATTTATATCCTTTGGCAAATGAATACAAATGAAAGGTTTAATTACTAGTCGTTATTGTTAAATTAAACGTTATATTTATTTTAATGATGTCTGTGTGTAGCTTAATCCGTCTTCAGTTATAAATAGAACCGTGTGGGGCCCGAGGGTAGAGCGGGCATCTTTTGCTATTTTGTTCTTGTTTTGGAATAAATGAAATAAGTAGAATGTTTATTAATAAAAAGCAGTCTTACGGATTTTATATAAGGGTTCGTAGGGATAAGAACTACAATGGAGCCTTTTTCCGGACACTGGCGCGTTATCCTATAGGCAAACAGGACAATTGCCTGGGGCCTTCGCCACAAATCGATCTTTTATAAACTCATTACTGTACTAAGAGTATTGAAATTTAAAATTGGGACATATCTGGGGACTCTAGGGTTCACTGGCACAGCGCAGAGGCGACGTAAAAACGAATGAGGATACCGAAGGATTTCCCCAAAATTCTCCGAAAAAATTGTTTGAAGTCAACATCGTACATGGGGCCCTACTAATTCAAATTTGCCTGGGGCCCCACGAATCTATAACGCGCCACTGTCTCCAGATTCCGCAGCTCCTCTCTCTTCTTGTTGGCCTTGTTATATCGATATAGGATGATTGTATATTTTGCAATATTTGTGAAATGTTACTTTAAAGATAATTATTAAAATTATCAGTTCGGCATTGAAGTTTTCGCAATAATTTCCTATTAAAATATATATAGTAAATTGTAATATCATACCGTAATGCTTTCATAGAGTTAACGATTTATTTTTACATTGATTTGTGAATCAATATAGAACTGATAAGTGTTTGAAATTATTAAATCCATCGATATTAAACGTATACAAAATCAAAATCGTTGATCCGAGAATCCATAATTGCCTGTTGAATAAAGGCCATTCATTTTTAAAGGAAATTTTATTGCTCTCGATGGACTAGTTTAATGTTTGTGCTTTTTATTCTCTCACCTTTCGCGACCCTTTTAGATGCTAAGGGCAAAACAAAATCAACATTCAGTTTAAAAAAGTTCTCTATAGTTTCACATACGAATTTCTTTTTTCTCTCCAATAAACCTTTGAGGGTAAATTCTCTTAAATTCCACTTTCCCTCTGAGACACTAATTCACACAAAGGGCTGTTCAAGGACTTTACTCGACTACCGTGTCTACGAGAAATAATAATACTAATAATAAAATTTACTCTCTTTTAATTAATATAGAACAATTTTCGATTCTTACAAATACATTTTAAAATAAATTATTGACTAATAAAAATGATTAGGAATTTATAAATACCGATTATAATTATCGAAATATTAATAATTCATTAATACGTGAGTCAGCACCAAAAATAATTCGTTTGTTCATCGGGCCGAAACTTATTTGAAAAAAGTAGGTAATGCATCGTTATCTATAAATACAATAACATAAGTATTAAATATAGATTTATAAATATATCTATCATTTACATGTTGATGAATACAACAATTCATCCGAAAAGTAAGTGGATCGTGTATTTGCGCGCTGTCATTACATTATGAAATTCTTTTTAATTATTAAGAAATTATTCTTTTAATTGATAATTAGACGATTTAGAATCACTTAATTACTTTTAATTTATTGTAGAATTAGATATTTCGTGATAAATTCTTATTATTAGAGAGGTTCGGACGTTCAGCGCCTTCCTGTGAGTCTAGAAGTTTGACAATGGCGTTTGGAACGTCGAGCATGATTCCAAACGTCATTGTCAAACTTCTAGGATTACAGGAAGGCGGCGCTGAACGTCCGACGTTCACGTTTTCGCCTTGAAAACGTCGGCCGCAACCTCTCTATTTTCTACTTGAAAAGGATCACTAAAAGGTAATTAACCTGTAATGATCTATGGTGATTTTCAAAATAATGTTAAACAGTTTAATTTTTGTCTAAGATATTCGATTTTAAGTAAATAAATATATATAAAAAATAAATAAAATTTATTTAAAAAAAAATTTCGTGTGAAATTAAAAACTGTAACGATGGGTTGGTTAGTGTACAAAAAATATGGCGAAACGACTGGATTGTTAATTAATAGGTATGTAGAAATTTGTATAGACACGTCGATTAGGACAAAAAGGAATTTCTTCTCCGGTTAAACCTGCCGTGAAAGAGTAGGTGTAGGGTTTAGTACAAAGCGCAGGTGGGTAAGGTCATACTAGCCTTATTTTCTCTTCTATGCAACCAGCGCCATCCATCGGAAATTATGACGTGGTCGATGTAAGCAGTTCCTGTTTCTTTTCTTTCAGGTGCGGACAGATCGACACAGGATTACGTTTTGCGACAGGTGAGTCATTATTTCTTAATCCACTGGTTATTTCCTATTTTATACGACAACGAATGGAAGTATTTTCTCTTCATCTTCGCCAATAAATCGTAATGGTTACCTATAGGATATATAATATGCGTAAAGAAATACGGTATGGAAAGTAAACACTTGAAGATTTGCGCATTGTTATGACCCGTGATCCGCAGTTTCGACTATATGTAATTGACGTATTTATCCACGTAATTGACATCGAATGAAACCGATAAGCCAATCGGAAGAAAGGAATCGATTTCATTAACAATAAATCGCGTGTAGTTTGTGTTTAAATGACACAAAGTGCGTGGAATTTTTAAAAATATTAAATTTCAAATTTATATTAATAACTAAGCTTATTTTCTTAATCGTAGTCTTGATTAAACTTTAAAAAATGTTAATTAAATTCACATAATTGATTAATATTGTATAAGGAACCGGTAATATTTAAAAAAAAATTATTGCAAACATCTGTTTAAATATTTTCTAAATAATCATTGTAGAGGAAATATCTTTAGATTTTATTTATTTAATACTTCTATATATGTGTTAGGTAAAAGTATTTTTGTAGCAAGAAAGATTAAGGAATTATTAAATAGGTTAGTTTGTGTTCTATCTTATGTGTCATCTGAGGAGTGTTCATTTTTTTCAAATAGAACAGTTTCCATTTTAAGTCATCTGTTATTCTAAAGTATTTCTTATAAATAGAAAAATGAGTTCCTCCAACAAAGTAAAATTTTTACTTTTCTAAATTTCTAATGGCTTTAAATTTAAATTCTTCATACATTTTATTCTGAAATTCTAGTGTATAAATCTCTAATGACATTAGTTATGTTTACCAATTGCCATTATGACTAAAGTTATAAAAAAAATGCATTTGTATTTTATTTTTTTTGTATGATCTTTGATAACATACATTAACTGTTTTTATGTTTATAAAAAAGTATTTGCTATTTATACTTCCTGAATGGTGATTTTAAAACAATAACAACAACAATTTTTTGTCATGTATATTTAACATCCTGATCGTTAACATTATTCCATAATTTTAGATTATAAATATAAGGAAGGGAAAAAAAGTATCAAATATGTCTACGAAACAGTCGAATTGTTTGTTTTGAAAATAATTCTTATAAGATTAATCAATAATATACATTTTAAATTTTTTATACTTTTTATTTTACTAAATTAATTTTTTTCTACCATATTTTAAAATTAAATAAATCAAAAGATACAAGTTATAAAACTATAATTAGATTTTTTCTTTATTATTTTAAAACTTTAGTCATATATAAATGACTAAATTAAAATTACAGAAATATAGTTCGACGAAAATCTTGTTATATAAGAAATCGTAAGATTTTACCAATGCAGTAGAATATTCAAATTCCATATTAAACAATAACAAACCTGAATTCTTCAATTGATTTTCAGTAATATATATATATATATTTGAAAGAAATTCTTGGAAACAAATTTTTGTATTGCCATTTATATAATAATGGTTGCACAATTTTGTTTAAAATAGTAATGGCTAAAAAAAATAAATGAATGCACAATAATTTTATTTAAAACTGTTAAATGACATAAATTTGATACATTCTCAAAATAAAATACATTAGATTATCATTTTCTTTTTTCACGTTTATATTTTTCTTTGGTGTTTCATGATTTTTAACATTCACATATAACATATTTAACTAAGACCAATTTATTACTGTTTCCTAATTGCTTGAATTCTTACTTAAGATCTAGTTAATTCATAAAAATCATGTTTTGATTATTGTCTATTTCTATTTTTATTCATAAAAAGTAAATTATAAAAATATCCAGAAATTTTAAATTAATTGAGCTTAAAAATATAACATTTTTAAATAAAATTACAAGTGTTTTTCTTTTGTATTAATTATTTAATTAAACACTTTGAGTTAATTTCACTCGAATATGTACAAAGTGAAATTTAACATTTTTTTAATTTTTATTGTTTTCTGATAGCCATTACATTAGCAAAATTTCTGCATAAGCAATATGATATGTATCTAATGTAGAGATGCTCTTTAATATCAACTTTATATCTAAAAAACTAAATAGTGTCTTGTTTAACTGTATTTATTCACACCATAAAATTGTTAAAGGATGATATTTATTTTTGAATAAATTCGTGGATTGTTCCTCTGACATATAAAGTGTTGTACGACCGATAGAATTTCTTAAAAGTTTATTCACCATTTTTTTTATAACAACTTAAGCAAGCCTCTTGACATTATTTGTGGCTACTTCTAATATGTCAGCAATAATCTTTTGAAAGTAAACACTAATTGAACATTGTTATATATGTATAATTAATTATAAAATGGAATTGTTTTTTTTCTAAAGTTTAATTCAATTGGCTAATCATACTATGAATTGTTTAAAATACTATAGCAACAATAAAGATATCAATAGCTATTTTATAGTGAAAATTGATAATATGTGCATTTAGTTTTAAAAATGGCTTTTATAATAGATATAAATAAATAGTGGGAGACAAAGGATAAATATTATAAAGAGAATTTTTTGTATATGTCTTTAAAAAAAAAATAGTATGAATATCTCATATATTGCAGTAAAATTAACTATAGTTCATTTGTTAAATGACTGGAATTTACTAATTTAAAGGCTTACCTATCCAAGTATTTGTTAGATTATAATTTAATCATTTTGTTTTGATAGTAAAAGTTCATTTTGCCATATTTTTTGCGGTTTTTACCTATCACAAGAAATAAATTGTTAGTTTTTGTTCTTTCAGTCAGTAAATAAACTTCTGAATAATAAATTTCTTATGATTTTTCTTAGATTTGAAATAAAGTTATTCATAAAAAATTTATATTTATGAATAACTTTATTTAGATATAAGAAAAATCATAGTCAAATATTGACTGTCTTGCTGGAATAAATAAAAGTTAAAGTTAAGTATAAGAAAAATATAATGATATGAAATTTTATTTCAGAATTTTTTGTAAATATCTAAAAATTTTAAAGAATCCGACTACAGTTGACCAAATTTCTTTGATACTGAATTGGGATTTACTGTGTATATTACGATATACTATACTTGTTATGTTTCTTTATGTAACATATTTAATTATATAATACATTTTTAAAAAGTTTATTTTTAATAAATTCACTTGAAATAAAAAACTTTCTTTATTAACTCTCTCTAAAATTCTTAGTACAGATTCTGATTGATACGTTGACAAAAGTATTTTATACAAATTTGTAAAACAAATTTTGAATTGTAAACAATTATTCCAAGATTACTAGCAATATATCTTGTTTATATACCTTTCCAACTTTTAATATGGTTTAATTTGGGTTTAAGCCAAGATTTTATTGACATAATACATTTTTATAGTGTAATTTTACAAAATGAAAAATCTTATTGAATGAAACAATTTGTTGATTACATTTTTTAATGTTATTTAATTTCAAATATCAAGATAAAAATGAATTAGGATTTTACATGTTATATTTAAAGTATATATACTATATTACCGTACATAGAAATTCATTTATTTTCATGCTTCTATTTTGCAATTGATTTTTGGATTGAAAGAATAATTAATTGTTGTTTTGAAAAAGGAATAAAACGAATTATAATCAAAATGTTAAAAATTATGATTTTACAATTTGTGGTTTAGCCCGGTGTTCCGCAACCGGTGTGACGTCACAAGGTGTAAGGTGTGACTTTTACATATTCTATTAATTTCAAGCTTTATTGATATATTTTTATCACAGTTGCTGTGCTTCTTATGCTTGTATTTCAAGTGTTATCTCATAAGTGATGCAGCACTTATGAAATAAGATGATGTTTGTTTATTCTTTATTACAACCATGCATTTTTATGTATTTTAAGAAATTAAATGTAAAATAAATTTTCTCATGGGTGTTGTACGCTTTTGAGGGGAATAACATTTGGTGTGCCGTGTTGAGACATGTCGAGTCATGGATGTGCCGCGAATAGAAAAAGCTTGCGGAACACTGGTTTAGCCAATGATTTTAAGAAATAGTATAAAATAAATATCAAACAAGAAATTAAGAAACCAAATAAACTGGATAAATAATTACAAAGTCTTTCTGTTATCTGAAATGAATTAACAGTTCAATAAAATAATGGAATAACTAATTTATAAAAACATTTTTCTTTCAGTTAAAATTTTGATAAAATTTAATTGCCATTTTGATAATTTATAAATAAGTTTTAATTTAACATTTTGTATATATTATTTATCTAAAATTGATATAGTTTTTGCTTTTGTAATTTCAGAATTCTCATATATTTCTTGAACAAGTTTTCAATGATAATCATGAAATGTCTCAAGATGAATATAAACCTATTGCTCTGAGTTCTTTAGGAGATTGTGATAGTGCTGTAGTTACATTCAGTGATAATAGTCAAGGATCTCCTGCACCTGAAGAAAAAGCAGAGAGGTAATTACAAATAATTTTAATAAATATAAAGGTAATTTCCATATGCATGAAATGAGTTGTAAAGTGTAAATTATTATTTTATGCCAACATAAACTTCTTAAGGTTAAAATGCTATCCTCAAATATTGGAGAGGATAATCTTTAACCTTCAATTTGGAGAAAAGATTAAAAAATTCTTCTTTCCAATTATTTGGGGACAGCACTTGATTTTTACCAAATAAGAATGATTTTGTGATTTTGTCCTATCAATACATTAATGTAAAGTGATGTCAGTTACTGTAAGTGAACAAAAGAACTTAAGAGAATGAGAATGCAATCAGTTTGAACTACAGATTATTTACTAAATCTTTTTGTAAAAGTAAGAAAACAAATATTTTTGGATGTTAAATAATGCAATAGGTTATTATTTAAGATACACTCTGTATTATGCATATTTAGTTGAGAAAGATTAGGAATGTTACTTTAGATTTTTCTGGAATGCAACATATTGTATATATCTATATCTATATCTATATCTATCTATATATATATATATATATAAATGGACATGTGTGTCCCTATATTTCACTTTTCCGCAAAAACTATACATCGCACGTGAATGGTGTTTGTATGTGGTGGTAGCCCCAAGTCTCCATTCGTGCATAGGGGTGGTTGCGTCTCAATAGCTATAAGGGTGTGGGAGATATGAGGCTGAAAGTGGTTGAAAGTGGCTTTCTATTTCGAATGTTTTGTTCGAATTTGTTCGAATTAAATTTGAATATTGGTTCGATTATAGAACGATTGTAAACGTTTCAGAAACATTGAAAATAGTTCGTTTGACTAAACGTAAAAATTCTCTAATTAGTCTGGAAACGGGGGACCTAATTCTTGCATTCTGTGAAAACGGGTAAGATTAGCTATAATGTAATTATCTTAATCTTCACTATCGTTACTTTTTGCCCAGCGAAACGGGTCCTTGCAGCTAGATTCTAGATTACTTAGAAAAACAGTCTTTTATATATATAAAAAAACCTATATTACATACAAATAAAAACCCAGCAAAGCGGGTCCTTGCAGCTAGTTTTAAATATAAGAAACTATTTTACCACTTACTCATTAGACAACAATTACTATCTAATTAAAAAAAATCATTATAACGAATGTGTGCATGTTCTCTAAGCATCAGAGCCATCACATTTGTTTATACAATGTTGCCACCTAGCCAACAAATACAATAATAATTATCGAAAATTTAACTCCTTTTGTCAGATTTAAATCTGCGGTTACAATTTAACTATTAACTGCGCAATCAGTCGGAAAATACAAACATTTTGTTTTTTTTTTTTCTAAGTACGGTACAGACACAGCCTTTAAAGTACGGACTGTCCGTACTAAATACAGACTTACGGTAACCTTAATATATATATATATACATGCGTGCGTTTTCGCATTACTTCNTATATATATATATATATATAGATTTAAGTCTTTGTACTAGATGTACTAGACAAGCAGATTTAAGTCTTATATATATATGTAAATAAGACTTAAATCTGCTTGTCTAGTACATCCAGTTGTAGATAAGAGAGGATTACCAATGTACACACTAAGAAATATACTAGCAAATCTATATATACATATAAAGTTAAAATATGTATATATGTAGATTAGGTCTGTCATTCAATATATCTCTACCAAATTTGGCAAGAATATTCTTTGACACCCTGTAAAAAGTATGTGGAGGTCCCCACCTCTAACTACCTCTAAATTCCACCCTCTCTTAACTTAAGCCTGAGCAATTTTGTGTGTTTTGCAGTTTCATTATTGTAAATACTCGGATCAATAAATTTACATTTTAGTTACTAAGTCCATTATTTTTATCACCCTCTTCCAATCCAACCTTACAAATCTCCAGTTCCTCAAAAGCTTAAGCAATGTTGGATCCACACAGCTAATAATGCTATAAATAAAGAGCATAAATTTACAGAAGTTTTTAAAATTATACATTATAACATTGTATATAGACAAATGTTAGGTTGCTTGAAGAAACTTGAATTGGTATTCCTGTTTTAAGAAAAGCATTGATGAAGGTAAAAGATGAATTTAAAGATGTTCCAGTCAATGAATTTTCAGATTTAGTATATGTCATAGTGCATAAACTATTTTTAGAGGCAGTTTATTATTAGCAGAAATGAGGTGTCCTAGTCAACTGTTGCTAGCAGGCCAGATAACAGAAACTCAAAATTTTAGTTTAACAATATTGATTTATTCTGTATTAATAAAATATTAATTGTAATAAATTAAAATTGTAGATGAATAAATGAATGAGTCTATTCTTGAAATTAGCATTTCAAATATTTTCTTATTTATTTTTCTTGTTGAATTACCTTCATCCTTCATGTCGTAATCTTATACTGTGAATTAGTAAGTTAGATGAATTTATGTCAAGATAAGAAATACATAAATTTGTGTTATGGATTAGTAATTAACTAGGGACAGGCTACATAGTGCTTTTTGACTGAATAATGAATATTTGGCTGAATATCAGCTGATTTATTTGGAACTGCCTGAAACAGAAGATAGTCTCTAAGTCTTAGAATAAGATGGAAGACAGCAACTTCTCAATAATAAAGATTTTATATGTTTTTATTTTTTTAAAATTAAAATAAACGAGAAATTAAAAAACTCATTATTACATAATAATTTTTAAAGATTTAAACTGCTGCCATTGAGGTCCATCATTTTTTGGCAGCCATGCAAAGTAGTGTATTTAGTGAACATACTGTACTATTTAATATATTTGTTTTTACACAAACAAATATATTAAACAATTGTAAACAATGTATTAAGGCTTATCATACACCACAACCAAATATTTAAAACATTTATTAAACTTTGGTTATCCAAAAAACTACAATTTAAAAATTACAATTATTACAAATATTAACTAAAATGCATTTTTAAACTTGACTTCTTTCTTCAGTTAGAATATTGTTATACATAAAATCAATTCAATTTTTAAAAAACTACAGCTAAACTGTTTTGTTTGTGTAAAAACAAATGTGTTAAATAGTATTAATGTAAGGACAAAAAGTAGAGTTATTAATATTAACATAGAGTGTGTTCAACAAAGCTGGAAGTATTTATGACAATTATTATAATCACTTACTTCCTCTGAATGCTTCTGTATTCATTATACTGTGGTTTACATGAATACAGAAGCACTAATGTTTCATTACAATTTATTAATTGAATTTATTGTAATTATTAATAAATAATATTTGCTCAAGATCATTTATTAAAGTTGTATTTGTTTTGGAAAGGAATAAATAATGATATTTTAAATGTTATTTTCATTCTATTTTGTGTTTTATCCTTTTTCCTCCTTCCTTTTTCTCTCTCTTTTTCTCCCCAAATGAGTATTATTAAATAATACTCATTTACATAATACTCATTTGGGGAGAGGTTAAAAATTAGATTATTTATGTATTTCCAATGCTTACTTAATGCTTATAACACACAAACATTTTCATTTCAAATTGGAATATCCTCAGTTTCAAAATGAGATTATTTGGCCAAATAGTTTGGCTTTGAGGAAGTATTTAACTGAGTACCAAATACTTACTTTGACTGAATATACCTGAATCCCAAATAATGCTGAATATTCAGTTCATCACTATAATTAACACATTACAGAATATTTAAAACTAGCAAAAATAAATAAGTGAACAGAATACTTTCATTTTGTAATAAGGAGAATAGAATGTAACTAAGCTTAACATTGAGGATAACTGAATCTGTCTTTTTTAACTAAACTATAATATTGATTTTTCACAGATTTTGAAGAAAGATCTAATGAACATGATAGATGTAGCAAATTTGATAGCCCAATTTACTTAAGTTTGCTATGATTATTTGTGACATGTGCGGTCAAGCATTATCATGCAAAAGTATAGATTTGTATCTGTTAACCAATGTGAATTGCTGTAGAATCAATTTTTGATATGATGCTACTTCTGTTTAACTTGGATTTAAAAAAAATATATTGAGTTATGTTTTTTGTAAACTCTACTGTATAGTTATTAAAATCACTTTTCATTACAACAATGGTTTCAGAACATGTTTAGGAGTTTTACCAACATCCAACCATTGTTCAGATTTCTTTTGATTGTGGTGAAAAATGGATATTGTATGGAAAGTGATGATCATATCCAAAAATAGACCTCTGTTTTGTGTCTTAAGTGATAAACATGTCTACAAGCATTTGTTTTCCCATTATCAGTTAAGTTAATTGGTATGTTAGCCATTTGTCCAGTTTTTTTTACCTGTCATATTGCAGCTAGGTATCAAGAAACTTAAAGCATAAACTCCTAAATCTGCTGCAATACCAAGAATTCTTGCATGTGGGTTAGCTTTTGCCATGGCTCTTCATTGATCTTCAGATAAAATAGATTTGGGTCAACCACAATTAAGGTTCAATTTTAGATTCAGGAATCTATAATGAAATTTTTTGGAATTAACAAAAGAAATTTTTTGAGCCACTAAAAGAGTCTTCATCAAAAGTTAAATTAATTTTTTTACCTGCCTCAGCTATACTGTTTCCAGCTTAAATTCATATAAAATGTATTTATAATTTTTTCAAAGAAATTTTATGATTATATCTGTGAAAAAATAAACAATAATAAAAATCAGTCAGTTGAAGAACACAATACTACTATAAATTTGAAATAACACAACTTTATTGTCCACATTCAAGTTTCAAGTGGATGAAATCAGCAATTTTATGTTTTACAACTTAATATATATTATATTTTCATAAGCACAGCACCTGTTGAAATCACACATCATGTATAAGTTTTAAATATTAACATTAATAATTAAAATTTTAAAATAATTTTTTAAAATTTGTAAACTTGTTAATTTCACATTTTTTAATTTTAAACATAGAATATGATTGCATAAACAATATAATAAAATTTTAAAAGTCAATTAGATAAACATAGAATCTTAAACAGTTTGTCTGTAGAAATAACTTCAGTTGTACTTTTGTGTTTTTCTGAACATTTACTTTTGTTTTTTTCCCTTTAAATCAATAGCTACTGTAAATGTGTTAGCATTATATTGGTACTTATGTGTATTCGTAATTCAATAAAATTTTTATTATGTATTACAAGTAATAAAATAGTTTTGCTTGAGTTGTTATAAATTAATTTGTCTATTAGAGTCATTGCATGAAAATAAATAATTACTTTAAGTAGCATAGATTGTTTTTTTTTTGGTTATTAAATATATGTCATACTTATTACCATTTGTAAATTACAATATACATTCAATAAATTTTATTTAACTGATATTTTTTAACTCTATATTATCATATTTATACATCTTATTTCATTTACTTCAGTTACAGTCCAAGCACAAGTGAAGGAGAAGAACGTTACGAATGTTACGGAGAAGCTGAAGATATAGAATTTGATGAAAATCATTGTAATGGTCACATTTCAAAATCTCATTTAAGGTTGGTTACTTATTTTAAGTAATTTAATACTTTAAATTTAGAGGTAATTGTAAATATATTTAAATATATAATGAAAATCCAAAATAAGATATTCGGGTAATGCCAAATGACATGGAAATGTGCAAATTTTAAGTTAAAATTAGTTTTCTAAATAACCAAACTTATAAAAAATAATGTTTAATATTATTTTACAAGAAATTGAATGATGTCAATGCTATATTTTGAGAAAATCAAGCATTTTTAAAGTAAAGTGTAAAAAAATCACATAAAACGAAAACATTTAGGAGAGTTATTTATCAAATGAAACAAATGTTTTGATGTAAAATAAATTATAATTTCTAGTGTCAACTTTTTGTTAGTAATGTAAATAAATTCAAAAGTTTATAAGGTTTTTAATTTCATCTAAGTTGTTAATCCAGCATTGATGAGGTCAATGAGAGTTGTGTGTGATGCAGTACCACACTACATCAAATACACAACTCCATTTTACTTGAAGCACTTCAGTTTACACAACCCCATTACATTAAATTGAGGAATCAAGTTATAATATTTGTATTCATATTTATTTTGATTGGAAAAATGTACAGGCATAAAAATTTTTATATATATTATTTCTTATATATTCTAGTTGTTCATATACAGTATTTATATTCTAAATTGCTTATAGGAAGCCTTGCATACAACTACTACTCATCTATTTCTAATGAAAGAACTTCAGCCATTTTTCATGTCCCATTGAATTTGTAGTCATTTTTGCAAAATGTTTACATCCACAAAATTTAGTAAGATTGAAATGTCAAACTTGTTTTGTTTTTTCTACAAACTTTGATATTTTCCTTTTCAGTTGTATTTGCATGTTGGTTTGCTCCTCCAATTAATTTTATACTTATTTGGAAAGTAAACAGATTTCTCAAATTATACTGAAATTACTCTCATGTTCAAAAATAAACATAATCATTAATTTTGATTATATTTCATGAACTACTGATCAGAATAGCATGAAACTTAGCTTATAAACAGAACATTGTATTCTTTAAGCAACAAAAAATTGGGTTGCAAAAATTTAATTTCTGAATTACATCAAATCTAAATCAACAAGAAACAGTATTATACATAGTTGTAAATCTTTTTATACAAAAAATTATAATATAGTATGTGTTCTCTCTTGCTCCTGTGCACATGTGCAAGCACACACACACCTACACACACTATACAGCAATTCTTCATGCCTGTTATAAGTTAACATTGTTTATCAGTTCTGTTGAAGCAAACTCCATTCTTGAACAAGAACATCTTGAAGCTCCTAGAGTGTTGTTTGTAGAGTTTCAGAAAGTCATTGATGAATGCAGCCCTATATGTGTGAGTATATCATCCATGAAAACTAAATATTCACTTGCAGCACCTAAGTAAAGACATCTGGATCCCTAAATTTCATCTCTAGTTTCTTACAGTGATGGCACTTTCAAAAACATGGAGCTCAGTGCAGCAATTAGAACATAATCCCACCCCAGACCATGATACCACCATCTGCAAACTGATCTGTTTCCACAATGTTTTGGGAACTGTTTTGGGACAGATTCTAATTAATAAATTAGATCTGTACAGAGAGAGAATCATTCTGTAGACTGCATCTAGACTCATATGTATAGATTGAATGATGATGCTTAATTTTTGACACAAGAGTCTTATATGATAAACAACAGATAAATAATAAACTGTAGAATTATATTAGAATAAACTTACCATTTATTTGGTTATAGAATTGATTAATAAACAATACATTTTTAGCAAAATTTTGATGTTTCACAGGTACCATGCCCCATGAAATTCAAATTTTTTGGTATTTATAATTCCTGAAAAATTTCAAATGACAACATTATATAGAATAATTGATCTGGTGAGGTAAAAAAGAACATCTCAATACAATTTATACATTCTACAATACTTTTTCTCATTGTCAGAAAAAATAAAATATTATCCATTATAATTTAGGACATTAATAATGGATGTTTTTAGGAAGTAAAAATAGATTAAAAGCAATAAGAACAATATTAATATATCAGCAAATAATGTAGTGTAATTGTTTTTATCTAGATGAACTTTTTATTGTTATGTTTCAGGGGCAGTAATTTCTAGTCCACTAGGACTTTATTTATTTTAATGAATACAATCAGTAAATAATATCAAAATTAAGATATCTATGATCTTAAAAGACCCATCTCACAAACAGTTGATTAATAATGGAAATATTAATTGTAAATATACTTGATAGAATAGCGTAATTAATTGTTAGAATTACTTGCAAATTTCTCATACAACTCTATGCTATTCTTTGTACTGTGAAAAATAATAATTGATTATGATCATTTACTTATTTAGGACCCACAATGTTTTTGAGCTAGGAACAGACTCAATGAATAGTAGAAGACTTTGTTAATATGCTTTTTAGTACTGGAAATTTCAAAATTGTTATTTTAGTCATACTCTTAGTAACTTAAAGAATTTTAAATTTAAACTGCCAAATGAAAAATATGAATATAATTTTTTTTAAATGTAAACTAAAAAAGTGTTTCCAATTTTATCAAAATATCATAGTAAACAAAGTCAAAATAAAAATCATTATCACTTTCTTGATTCAATAAAAATGAAAACATCAAAATATTTTATTTGATCTTACAAAGAATATGCAAAGACATAGTTTTTATCTTAATAAATTCACTAACTTTCCAAGATCTTAATCATAAATCAAGCACAACTGCTTTATTGGAGTTTATTACTTCACACACAAACATTCAAGTGCTTTTGGACTTATTCAGTCTATATTCAGGGACTAAGTAAGAATCAGATTTTTTTAGAATAATTATTTTTCTTTTTAAGAATACCAAAATTTTTTAAGATTTCAGAACATTTCAAACTTTAAACAAATTAGAATCAAGAACTTTAGAACATGTTTTGAAATGAAGAACATTTAAAAATTCCAAGATTCCAGTATATTTCAAAATTCCTTTAACAAATTTAAAATCCATAACATCTACAGATTATAAACACTTCTCAACCAATAACACCTACTCCTACACATCGTTGGCACACAAAGTCCACTTTTTCTCACTTTCTGTCAGTCTTATTCTTTACAGTTCCCTTTATATCTAATCAAGACATACTTCCAAGTTGTTGAAAGACTGAATCTTTACTATTAATAACTTCTCCCTTGAAGCTCTTATAAATTCATGACCTTTTTTCATCTTTTGTGTTTTCTCATCGTCTCAATAATTTTGGCTTCTTTCCAAATTACTTCCACTTCCTTTCTCATTCCTTCTTGAATAAGTGCAGTAGTTATCTTTCCAGCTCTCAGATCTCTCTAATGTTTTTCAATAAGTTTTATGGGTTATAATAATTGATCCCACATAAACTGTTTTCTTTTCTTTCTCAGTCATTGGAATCATATAAATACCTGCTCTCTCCAATTTATCATGTTTTATCATTTTGCAAAATCTCAAATAGTATACTCCAACTATGAGACATAATGCAGCAAAGTTCTCTTTTTACTAAGGATAGAATTTAAGGAGATGGATTTTAAAAGCATAACAGATTTGGTCTACAGAATTATTCCTAGTTCCTACTTATTATGAACAGAGTGAAGTGTATCTATTGGATCATTGATATCAGAGTCTATAGTGGAGTTGATAGTTCTCTTTACTATCAACTCCACTATTTAGAAGAATAAGTTATACCAGAGAAGAAGTTTTGGAGAAGGTTGAACAGAAAGTAAAGTTTATGGCTAGATATATAGATGACTTGTTAGTCATTTGGAAGGATAGCAGTGGCCTTGAGGATTTTTTTAGTCACTTTGTGGAATATAGTATTGATTTAGCCTCATTTAAGAGCATATTCTTATATATATGGAATACAGTATGTAATCTATAATATCTAAATATGCAGAATGTCCATGAAGTTTTTTGTGCATTTCAAAACTGCAATAACTTGTGTTCTGAGAAAAATTGTCAGTAAAATGAATTGTAAAAAATTGAGTATTTATTTTAAGGTTAAGATTTAACAGTTATTTATATAAGTTTATTATTTGAATTTTTGAATAAAGAGTGTTCTTTGATTCTTAATTTTAAATTAGAAGAAATTAAAATGAAATAATATTGATTATATTCAAATAATCTTTATTAATTTATATAGTTCAGATAGCTTTAGAAGTACAAGCAGTGCAGGAAGTACAGGGAGTAGGAGAGTTCGTCTACCTCATCATTCTCATCTCCGTCGTAATTCGTGGCATCATAGCAGTATCCACAAAACAAAGTAAGTTATTGTTAAGTTTATTTTTTGCAAAATTTGTTAATGATCTTATTAAAACTCATTTTGTATTTACTACTTAAAGATAGATTCAAAATAATTGTGTATTATAACTTTAATTTTAAAACTGTAATTATAACAGAAAAGCCAATGAGGTTTGTAGTTATTTATTGCAAATTAATTTTAAAAATTTAGTTGTAATTAGAACTTATGAATTTCAAATTTCACTGATAACTAGCTTTTGATTACTTTAGTTTCATTTTATGTGAATTTTACGCTTCCAATGACAAAGTACTTGTAATTTAGTAAACATTTAAGTGATAAACATAGTGACAAACTCAATCATTTATCAATGTTTTCACTGATATTTTCACTCATCAATCAGATAAGTGAAAATATAGGCAATTTGGGACACTTTGTTTTAAGGGAGCTGAAGTGGGTTATTTGCCTGAAACTTTACATAAATAAAACCACAAGTTCAATTTATTAATATGCAATCACTGATAATTTGTTAATCTCTCTTGCTTTCTGATCCAATTATTTTTTGTTCTTGCTTTGTCTGAATTTGGGAGGGCAGTTGCATCCTTTCTCCCTGACTCATATGCCCATGAGTCAAAACTTTTCATTAGTATTTTATATCATTTTAGTATAAACAGAAAAATAGTTATTAGAATTCTGTACTAATGTTTCCATATGCTGAATCAACAATTTTTACCAATATGGTAGAATTATTTATATTATCAGAATTATGATCAGAAATGACTAGAAATGCTGAATTATCAGGTAGTTAGTGATTTATACAAAAGGAATTTAATTCTATTAAATAATAGTGCAGGATATCTGATAATTAAGTCTTAGTTTTGTTGATAATAGGCAATCAGAAATCTCCTGAATACATAAAAGTTCTCAAAAGTAATAGTGTGTCAATAATTTTATATTTTGCCTTTGTATAGAAAAGTCTTATAAAAGTATGTCATCAATAAAATGTAAATAAGACATTTCAAATGAAATATTGCATTTAGTTTAGCATACTCTTTATTAAATCAATAATTTAAAAATAAAATTTCTCTAAAGTGCTAATAACTATATAATGCATTTTATTTTGTATCTGATCATTGTTTTCTGTAATAATATGGACTTTCAGTGAATCTTGGATTTTATCTGATAGTTTAAAAAATGAAAGGATTAAGATATTAGCACTTGTCATGTATATATATTTATATACCTGTTGATTGTCCATGGCAAATGGTGTGTTGCAATATAATTGCTTGAAATCAAAAAACTCATTTGCCTTGAAGTGACAGGAAAATTTCCTTTTGTACTGAATTTTTATGACTACTTTCTAACATTAAAATCCAATTATTTTATAACTATTTAGGAAGTTGAAAATTAATTTGAAATTTACAATATATTACTAATTGTATTTTTATACATTAATCCACCATTATTTTATTATGACATATAAAACATGCAAAATACACTCTGTACATTCATTAAAAAAACTTCATTAATACCTAGAATAATGTTATTTTTATTAAAACATTTTATTTTTGCCCTCAGATCTTTTGAGCTTCAACTTGAAGAAATAAATACTATTTTAAAAATTTCAGTTGAGAGAACATAATTTTTAATGTCAATATAAAGGAGAGAGAGTACTGGTACTCTCTCTCCTTTATATTGACATTGACATTATATTAAAAGCCACGCTGTGTTTTGCTTTAAGCAAGCAAAACACAGCGTGGCTTTTCAAATGAAATGAAAAAATTAAATTTCAGAAAATAAGTATAACATTTATAAGTTTATATTTGATTGAATTCATAAAAAAATTTATAGGATGCTCTTAAAACAAATCTCTTGTAGGAACAAATCTGGCAAACAATTTTCTGACTTTGCAAGAAGAGTATCGAGTCTAAAAACATAGAGATGAAATGAAACAATGTTTTTGTTTTGCTCACTTATGCTGTTAGTGCATAAAATAATGATAGATAATAAGAAATTAATACCCTGTGAATAATTTAAATTTTTTAAATTGTTATTTAATTCAAAATTTGAATTTTAAAGTAGCATTTTTCAATTTGAAATTTGAATGACCTGAGAATATAACTAGAAATGATTTGAAAATGTTAATTCAAGTGGTAATGAAGAGCTTCTTAGCACTTGAATATATGTGCTGTATTAATATTGGATATTTTATATACAAACAACTATAAAAGCATTGTTCTAGTTTAAAAAAAAATAATATTTCTGATCAAGAATTATCCTAAATATTGCTGTTTCCAATGTGATTTTGATTTAATGTTTTTGAGACTATTAAAAATTATTTCTAAATTTTAATTGTTGAATAATTTAGTAATTAATATTAAGAGAGCAATGTTATCCTAATCTAAGCTTGATATGTATTTATTACTATTTGTTTTGAAATAATTTTGCATTTTTTAAAATATAATTTATAAACTCTTGATAAATTGGTCGCTTTTGAAGACTTTATGAGGTTTATAAAATTAAATTATTGAATTATAATAAATTATATTTTTGAAATATGGTTATAGATAAAAAGCAGTTTATATTTAAATTTTTTATTACGAGATATATGTAAATGAATTGTAAATTTTTACTTTTCCTATTATCAAATAATCTTATTTGAATCCAATTTATAATCTTTTAAAGTTCTGGGAAGAAGATATCTGCTAATGCTTTAACAAGGTAAATATATTTTAAAGTATATTTTAAAAATGAAATTAAGTGAAATCATTAAAGACTACTTGAAATTGTTCATTATAGTCAATTGTTTCATAGTGGTGCTTTCAATGGCCATACCCAAACCTCCAATAGTAGGAGGAGTTCCATTAGTTATGATTCAGATGATATGTATACAGACCAATTATCCTTAGAAGACGATGTTCAAGATCTCAGCCAAAAAGTAAAAATACAGTAGTTTGTTTAGTAAATGTTAATGTCTTAAAGTACACTGCTGGCCAAGTAAAATGTAACACCTGCAATATCTAGAGTCATACATGGTGTTGCATTTTACTTGGCAAGCAGTATATTTAAATATTGAAAAATTTTAAAAGATTAGAAATCTTTTTAAAAATCAAAAGTTTAGAATATTAAAATATTCCAAACTTTATATTTTATTATAATTAGGTCCAGTTTTTAGAACAACAAGTAACTGCTCTGTCACATAGTCAAACTAATAACGAAGATCGTTACTCTAAAGTCAAACAGGAGAATGCGATTCTTACCACAAAGCAAGTATTTTAATTATTGGTCCATTATAGTTTATAAAAATGACTTATTAATTAAAAACATAAATTATTAAATTTGTCTTTTCTACTTATATATCTGTTGAATTTGATCAAATTGAAATATAATTAATTTGTGTTGATTAGTTTTTAATTATATAATGAGTATTGTATCTTGATTATTATTGACATAAATTATCATCAAGTTTTTAAACATAAGATTAAATGTTGTTCATTTTTGATAATATGCATTTTATATAATTTTATAAAGAAGTTAAGAAGTAATGATAGCAATATAAAGAAGTTTCTTTATATTGCTATCATTGTCAAATATATAATTGTATCATCAGCTTATTCTGACCCATGTAACATATATAGAAAAATACTGTAAATGCTTTTCCAATAAAGATGTCTGTTTACTGTAGATATAAAATGTTTTTCAAGCCTTCTTGACTCTTGAGACTAGAGTCTGGAAGGCTTAAAAAACATTTTATACCTACAGTAAACAGACATCTTTATTGGAATAGCATTTATTTTTCTATGTATATTATTATACATTTTTGTAAATAGATAATAAAAATGTACAATCAAACCTCCAGATAACTACCCCTTTAAGCCAACCACTCCTTTAGATGACTGGAGTTTTTAGAACAATTTTTATTCCATAGGACTTATTGCTTTTAATCCTGCTTAAGTTGACCATCTTTTTACCTGACCATTGACCATCTAGACTATATCATTTGTGTAAAATACCTTCTGAGGTGAGCTTCTATTTTATCATCCTATCCAGGATGATAAAATAAAAACAATGAGCCTGTACAATATACAATGTTGGGTATATTGGATTGTTGTGTTAGGTCTAAAGGTTTGTCTCAGTCTTTTTTTTCCAAACTTCAATGTCACCATTTTTTTAATGCAGTCTTATCATGGAGAATATACATAATTTGCCGTTAATATCTTCAACAACTATATTCTATTCTTATGTTCTATTTAGTCTAATTAAACTAAATAATGTAACATAGCAAATGAATTTAATCTTTCCGTTAATAGAGATAGATAACTGGTAATTTACAATAATAAATTTGGGTGGTTTTGGAATTTATTTGACCAAATAGAAAATAAATATTGAGGTATCATTTTATCAAAAATGTTAAAACAGAGAAAGCAAATGTTCATTTTAGCTTACTTTAAATTTGACATTTAAGACTACTGTATATGCATTACATCGTCATGTACAGTACAGTACAGTACACAGAATTACATATGGCTATTATATAACTTATACATAGCAAGGGAAAGTATTGGAATCATGTCAAGATTGACCCTTCAGTTTTTTGCAAATCTCCACTTTTGAGACCCCCAAACTCAAAAAAGTAAAAAAAAAAAAAGTTCTGTGTGTTTTGGAGTCTATTTTGTTTAATATCTCGAGACGGGGTATGATTAAGAAAGAATTTGACTTGATAGTGTGTGTATAAGGGGCATTGATGCTATTAAATTTTGGTGATTAAAGGCAGTGGGGTGGAGAGGTAAGAGTTGGGAAAATTACACAACTTGTTACTGGATGTTTTAAATAGGTTTGCTGTATTGCCTAAACAATAGTCTGTATTAATGAAATAGTACATACAGTACTCTGTATCCATTATATTTTTGTCACTTCTTGAGATGACCAGTTTTCATAAATTTTGGAGGTGGTCTTCTTAAACAGGTTTACTATAAATCAGTTATTTTCTTAAATAATTAAGCTGAGCATAAAAATTAGTTTTTAAGAACGAAGCCTATATTTGTAAAAATTTTCTTAAAGATTCAATGTTTGGATGAAATATGGACAACTTATAAACAAAACTTATTAAAGGAAATTTTTAAAAACAAATATTGAAAAAGTTCTGCAAAGATAAAGCTGTAGTTAGTTATGAAACTATATTTAAACTTTAGGTATTTTATTTTATTATGTAAATATATACTAGGACATATCGTATTAGTAGGACTTATTATACTGGTGTCCAGGTTCATCAAATTGAGGAAACCTATTCAGAAAAAGCAATCTTTATTTTTCACCTGTACACACTTTACAGACTTTGTTTGTGTTTACGAATTATTCTGTTAATATTTTTAAATTTTGATGTACTTAACCATCAAAAAACTGTAAGTTGTTTTAACCGTTTTTATTGTCGGAAAAAATTATAACATTGTAATAATTTTTATAAATCTTGCTTTTAGCAATTAGTGGCTGTAAATCTACTGATGAGGCACCAACAGGTCCAAAACACAAACAAAGTGTGTAAAGTGTGTACAGATGAAACAGATGAAAAATAAAAACTAATACAATAATTTTGAACATTTTTAAATATGAAGTGAAAAACTATATATATTATTTTTAATGATTTATATTGACGAATTTGCAGTTAGTAGCATACTGAAATGCTTAATCATTTGTTTCTGATAAGGAAAAAGAGGATTTATTTGAAATAATGCATAAGTATTATAATATTGCTGAAAAATATTGATATTATATAAAATTTAGAGGTATATTACATGTTTCATATAAAAATTAAGATACAAATAAGTTGTTTTCAATAGCTTTAGATTTAAATTGTGTTTTATAGAACTATAGAGTTCCATCAGAAATTTATAGGAGAGCCATAAGCATATTTAATACAGTGGGTGATCGGTTAACGAACATAATCCGTTCCAAGACTTTGTTCGCTATCCGAATTGTTCGTTAACCGATTATCGATTTACCATAGGTTTCTATGGGAATTTGATTAATTGGTTCTGGAGACCCCCCAAAATAAAAAAAATATATACTTTCTTACTACCTTTATTCATATGTATTGATGATAATAAAAATACATACATACATAGTCTTGCGTTTTTATTAGTCGTGTTTTTTTTCTGTTTGAAAGGGTTAAAGAATCTGTCTAATGTCGATTGCTTTTCTCTCTTCTTCAGGATTTTTCGTAAGTAATTAATAGCATTGCAATTGCAGAAATCCCCAAGCCTTAACCTGGTTTGGATGCCATTCTAAGACCGTTGTTCTGACATCCTCCCACTT